TGAGTTGTGCAATACAACGAGGAGAGAGAAAGAAGGCTCATCTGTGTGTTTCCAGCGGAGCAGTGAGAAATCATTAAGTGGATTAAAACCTGACTGTTTGTGTAACTCTTAGCAGAAATACTCAAGACAACACAAACAAGACATTTTTACTCTTAGTACCTACCTCCTCCCGTGAAATTGGAAGTTCAATGAAACTGTTAAATAGAAAGCAATTAATTCTGTACTGTCCCTCCGCTGTGCTTTGGGGCATGTGGTAGAATTACGTTTTATGCATCTTATAAGGAAATTACAACAACTTAACCATCTCTGATGTTTAATTATGGGATATATATGTTTTTAAATTAATCTTGTCAAGTGGTTTAAACAGTAATATTGATAAATGTATATTTTTAGCAAAATGTGAAAAAATATTTATTTTTTTAAATTGAGCATGAATTTAGCATGAAAAGAGAAACAACACTGAAAATGAAAAATTAGATCTACTTGTGGACAGTTACTCCATTAGTTAGATGGCATTGAACCTCTAAATAGTGCCTAATTTTCTATTGCTAGTGCCTCATATTTGGGTTCAAATGAACTTTTTGTTCGTTTGAACAACATGAACATTGAAGTTTTTGTTGCTGACATACTTTTTTCCTGACCGCAGTCAATGGAAATACACTGCTTCATTTCTGGATTGGAAATAACTTCGAGAGAAAGTGGGACAATATAATCCTAATTCTTTTCTTTTTTTTTTTTAAAAATGTTAGTATATTAGCATATCTGGCGGTTTTGACTGAAGTTGAAGACGTTTTACTGCAGAGTTGTCTCCTCTTTGGTCCAATCCCACTGAAAGGTGTTCTCAAGCTGCAGCTCCTCTGGTGCTTCCTTGTTTAAACCAGATGCCGGTGTTTTTGTTTGCCAGCCCGCGGCTCCCTGGGCCCTTCTCATGCAGATGGCAGGTTGATGATGGCTGTACTCACTGCCGCTCTGTCCCACTCAGAGAGCGCACGTGGATTAGCTTCAGTACGGGCAGTGTCGTTTGACTCCAGTCTCATTTTGATTTCAGCACCTCTAAGTCTTCACTTTGTTTATCATTTTTAGAGTTATTTTAATTCTGATACTTCCCCATGTCCGACATGTCACTTCCCACATAAATAAATGCTGTTCATACCTTCACGTGCCGTGCTCTTTTTACTGTTGTAGGATCTGTTTTTTTTTTAGCTCAAAGTGAAAAAAAATAAACCAAAGTTGAACAATTCTTGCAAATACTAGATTTATCTTCTTACTTAACTCTCCTCCAAGCCTTCCAGCATCTGTCCACCCCCATGCTGCTAAATCTTTTTAACCCAATGAGGCCCCCTGCAGGTGCATGCTCACTGCTGCCAGTCTGAGAAGGTGCATTAAGATGGTAGGCTTTCACTTTGACGTCATTTGACCCATTTTGCAGTGCTTTGCATGAGAAGGTGATGGTGCTGTGGCATTTTACAGCCTGGAGTAACTACATAAACTAACAAAGATGTAAACCAGCCAACACTCAGTGGACCGTAGATGTGAAACAGACACACTGTTTTAAAAATAGCAAATAATCTTATTGTTTTGTTAATATGATATAATTTTTAACAAAGTTTCTTCCATTTATTGTGCTATAAAAATAACAACGTTAAATATCATTATAATTATGTCATTGTTGAGCAATTTTTTAAAAACTCATTCTTATTCTGTTTTAAGGGCCACTGACTGTTGGTAGACTTTTCACTCCAGCTCTATTGTTCACTAAATCCATTTGGAAAGTATTCGTTGGCCTATCCAAACGCGCCACACCGTGGTGAGTCGGGGGTCCGACTACCTCTGAAGGCCCCACCGCGTGAGTGCGCGCGCCGCAGCGCGCTCTAATTGCCCGTGGACCGCCGACGTCCTGTCTGGCTTGTTTTTGAAGAGCGACACGATTATGCTCTCAAGATCCATAACAATGTCATAAACCGCAATCACGCACTTAAAAGACAGCCAGCTTCTCCCGGATTCGCGTTCATTAAAGAGGAAAACCGGCGCGTTTATTTCTGCAGTCCGAGTCGAGCTGCAGTCATTCGGGATGGAATCGGAGGAAGTTGGACCCTCGCAGGCGGAACGTGCGCAGACCTCTGCTTCCATCTTGTGGCGGCCACGTGCAACAAATCCCTGCTCGTGCTCCGGCTCTCTCCATCGCTCCCCCCCTCTCTCTTTAATATCGGCACCGTGGCGAATCTAATCTGGATCTTCTTTAAGGCAATAAAAACCAGATAGCTTCCTTTAAATGAAAAGCGCCGCTTATTATAGCTTTGAAATCCTCGTTTATTTGGCGATGTGCACGATAGAAAAATGATTTATGTCGGGGTTCAAACGGGAAGGATGACGAAGATCCACTGTGTCCCAAGTGCATATTTCCTCAAGTATTGTATTCCAAGGTATATAATAGCGTTATTCACGCAGGCTGAACCGCGCTGCTTTTTTTATTGTAGGACTGCTGTATCCCTCCAAGCAACCAAAAGCAATTTCCGACAGATCTGACCCCATTGCAACGCTGGTAGTGGAGTAATGTTATTTTCTGGCCTGCTAATGTCAGTAAACATGTGCATAAAAGGACGCTTTTCACCCAAAAAATCTGTTTACTAAACACGCTTTAATACGGCTGAAGTTTAGAGTTCTATTTAGTTTTTAAAGGTACATCCAACAAAAAAGTTGGGATATGTTTGATTACATTTAAGGGGTCATCTGCCTGGGTAATATTAATACTGCTTTCAGTGTTTAAAATACGTTGAAAATATCCTGCAAGAATTTTTAAAAATGTGAATTTTCTCCCAAATGTTGCCACTGATAGCGTTTCTACAGGCACTGCATGTGAACGCATCACTTCACCAAACACCTGCCACAGAGCCGGCTTTGGTTCCCATGGAAAACATCTGCATCTTCCGGATCACTGGACCCACAATAAAATCTATGCAAATGAACGCCTCTGCCTTTACCTCTGAGCATTAATCAGCTCTTCTGTAATTGCTACCAGCGTTAAAAAAAAATGTCCTCACAACTTTTTCAGCTAAGAGCTGGCGCACATTTCCAACGTTTAACAGCGTCTCCAGTTTTCCTCCTGGAAATGGAAAATCCTCGAGGGAGTCCAATATTTCCTGATTTTAGAACCAGGCCCGCGTTCTAGCAGCAGGAGTCAAAGCAAACAAGGAAGAACTCTGTCTGGAATTAAAAATAGTTTTTGCGCTCTGACCAGCCTTCTTTTTGGTCAGACAATAATCAGCCTTTCACTTCGGAGAACGGGGGGATAGAGCGAAAAGCGAAATGAGAAGCCTGTTGTTGGCATTGCTCTATCAAGGAAGAAGGACTCCCTGTTACGTGTGAATGGGGCTTCTTTTTTTTTTTGACCAGAACAGATATAGCACGAATTTTTAATTCGTTTTTCTTTGAGAGACAACAATGCCTTATTTGAGGGCTTGATACAATTTGGGGGTTTGTAAGAGATCCTTTTCTCCTTTTCCGAGCCCAGCTGCCCATATGGGACACAACGTGTGCAGCAAAGATCACAATGGCACCGAGTGAGAGACGGGACAAAAAGCCCAAAGGATACATCTCCCTGCCTCTAAACAGCACCAAGAAACTCTGTCCATCTTCACCGTCTGCAGCTCCTCTCCTGCTGCTCGTTAACATGCACGCCTCTACCGTCCAGTAAAGCCAGGCCTGGGCTTTTGTCCCCCCCCCCCCCACTACCCCCCCACTGCCTTGTGTAGGCTACTGTATTATGCAGTGATGGAGTAACACAACTGCCCCATCAGACACACACAACCGCACATAAAAGTCAGCATATATCTCTCACAGGCTTAAATAGAGATATTTCTGGGTTGAGTTTTATTTTGAAGAAGCCATCTACTAAAATCACCTTCGCAGGAGGATTTTTTATAAGCAACCCCCGTTTAACTTTCTCTGCATTCCTCGTTTTGGGTGAAATATCTGATCGATAACCGGGACGCCGACGCGGTGCTTTGTCTGCTTCTCACCTTCGTATCAACGGCAGGAGAAAGAGAAATGAGAAACTATGACAGAGTTGTTGATTTATTTGACCCGCGCGCCGTGCCAGTGTACGAACAGAAAAGCCTTTCTGTCAGGGACAAATTGAGTCTGTGTCGTCCACAAAAGCAGTAGCCCCCTGAGACTCAATTCTGTAAATAATTAGCAAATCTGCCCAATTTAGCTGTTTGTTCAGTGATGATAGGGGCGACTCTAACATCTGCTGTGAGAATTCTGTCCCGGGACAAACAAAATCCATAGATTTTTCTACTGGGTTATCATATTTACCCAAGATATTGACGGAGTCTGATAATCCGCAGTGCGCTCTGCGGGTCCCAGAGGAGCCATTTGTGCCGGGTTTGGTCCCATGATGGTAATAATGTCATAGGAAATCCCGCCGTATAGTGTAAAAACTATCCTAATGCGTCACACGATCGCGTAAAAACAACTTTTATCAGGCGGTTAAAGCGAGGAGAATTTAGCGGAACGTTGGCATCGGTTAAACAAAAGAGGACTGGGAAGCCATTGATTGTTCTCGTTCCGTTTGCAATTTAGCGCTTAATAAGATAACAAAACATTTATTGCATTTAACGACGCTGTTCCTCCGCAGCCTGCCACTCAGAGGGGCTGGGGATGTCGACAAAAAGGAGTGCTTTCGACTCAAAAGCTTCTTATGTTGAGAAGCCCACTTATATTAAGTGAGTGGATTTTAGTCCCATTTCACAAGTGACTTTAGGCTCTTTAGCAGCGAGGTGTCCGGACTGAGAAAAAATATTCTCCGGATTAAATCTGACAAGAAAGAAAAGGCTGAAGTGCGTTGGAGGTTTATTCCCATGGTCAGCTCCATTCTTCACCATAAAACAGCGTTTGGCTCTTCGCCTTTCATTTTAGAGTTTAGCCATGTCTCAGTTCGGATCAGTGGAACACGTATAAACCAAAGCTTCAGTTCAGAAACACAGCATTTTATTATTTTTATTTTAAAAGTACTTAAAAATAGAGGAGTGGCCAAATCCACGCGTATCTACACTTTTTCTTTTACATGTTTGACATGTAAATTTTTTCTTTCCTCAATTTTAGTTTTTCTTGTTTAAATTCGGAATGGTCTCCATGCATTTAACATCCTATTCCAACCGATCTCTAAACCACCTGCCCACACAAATATTTACAAGAAATAAAAACAAAAAGGGGAAAAAGTTGAAAAGTTGCCAGTTTTTATTCATGGCCATAAATATTTTTTTCGGTCCATAAAAGAAGCAAGAAATTAAAATTCCTATAATTATAAAGTGGTTCATACGTGCTGATAACAACACGAAGGGACAAAAGAAATAAAAAAAAAAAAGAAAAGAAAACATCTCTACAACCAACACACAACATACTTTACAAAAAGAAAAATTCACAAGAAGAGCATTGACATTCTTAATAAAAATCTATAAGGGAGAGGTTTGGACCCAGTTCTCTTAACGAAAACATGTAAACACGGCGCACACATGAGCCCCGAATAAAAATGGTAGTATATATATGAGTCAAGCTGCAAAAAATGAAAAGTCTTTTGTTTTGTGTGTTTCACGTTCTTTTTTTTTTTTCTTTCTCTCTCTGTTGCTTTGTGGGTGAAACTCCCTATATCGCGCCTCCGAGCCAAAGTCTCTATAATTTTTTTTTCTCTCACCAAGTCCACTGTTGCGTCTGCACCAAGTGGTGTGCTGTGGGGAACTGTGGCGTGGCCGCGGCGCCGTACTGCGCGTTATACTGCATGTGTTGGAGGGACTGCGCACTATATGCCGAGAAGGGGATCCCGGCCTGAAAAGTGGCCGCCAAGTCCTGAGCTTTTAGAGTGTGACAAGGCTTTCCATCCCTGACTAAGACGGGCACGGCCACCCGCCTGGGAGAGGGGAGATGGGTCACTTCCATACCTTTCTCGGCCCGGGCTCTCTTCATCTTATACCGGTGGTTCTGGAACCAGATCTTCACCTGGGTCGGGGTGAGGCGGATCAAGCTCGCCAGGTGCTCCCTCTCCGGGGCGGACAGGTACCTCTGCTGCCGGAAGCGGCGCTCCAGCTCGTAGGTCTGAGCCTTGGAGAACAGCACCCTCCGCTTGCGCTTCTTGCCGGAGTCGCTGCCCCCGGTGCTGCTGGACGTCTCCTTGTCGTTGTCCGGCGACTCGTCGTCCGCGGACGGCTCCGGGGACTTGGCCGAGTCCTGCGAGCTGGCGGACAGACCGTGCACTGCGGCGAGGAACGGGAGAAACACTGTCAAAATGTTACGTTGCAAAGTTCTGAGGGCACAGGCCACACAGGCTTCAGCAGACATTCACAATGGATTATTAATAATCATAATAATAAAAAAACGAACCAACGTGTTAAAGGCAAAAAGCTGATATGTCATTGGATCAAAAAAGAAAAAAGGCAGCTGCACAAAAATGAATTTAGCCTAATTTATTATAACTTTAAAGGCACAGGCATGGTTGAGTGATATAAAAAGAGAAGAAAAAAGACCAAGGTTTTGCTGCTAAATTGGAACCCTTTGAACCAGTTTGACTGGAAAAATCTGTCTAAGAACCCCAAAACAAAAACAAAAAGATAATTTCCCGGCCTATTTCTGCACAAGCGGATTGAGTCAGTGGAGTATTTAAAGGGCCATTATACGCTGGTAAGTCTTAAATTTCACACCGTGGCTACTCTCCGAATAACTTCCCTCCCCGGTGTTTTTCTACGGTGCTTTATCGATTGCATTCTTCCAAAGCGAAGTGCGGTGAGCCTGAACACTGCATGCACTTGCTGAGCTGTAAACGCCTCGAGCCGTGCACGGTGCATAAAGATGAACAGTGCACGCCACCCAAGGGCATCGTTAGGGCGTAATGTGGAGCTGCATGTCATTAATTAAGACTTAACCTAACCGCATAGCGAAAAAAAATATAAACATATCACTTAAGTCTTTATCAACGAGATCAATGAGGATTTTAAGAGTCTACTTACATGAATATTGAATACTGTCCGTAGTAGCAAGCCATCGTGTGTAAGGATTGTCACTACTGTCATAAAAGGGGTTCTTTAAAGGCAGATTCTGAACGCTTTCTAGAGGACTTTGCACCAAAACTCCAGTGGTTTTCGTCGTCGTCGTGCTCTCCGATCCCTCCGTGTCTTCCTCCGCTCCGGTGATAGATCCCTCTTCGTCATTTGTGTCAGGAAGGTCCAAAATGTCCTTTACAGAAAAGCCCGTCTTTGTGTTGGTCAACGACATATTCTGGTGGGGGACAAATATGCAGGGGGGAAAAGTTGCTGCACCAGCTCTTCGGGACAATCCGCTGTTGTGAAACAAACAAGCAAAAAAAAAGAAGGAGAGAAGAAAAAAAAAGAGAGGCAGAGGCGATTTTTCAGGGGTGGAAATATACGACGAGTAAGTGTCGCTCTATAGAGCCGAAGTACAGTGGAAGCAGCCACTGTGGAGAACCATCGCCTGGGCAAGTCGCGGTGGATTTCGGTCTCTGTAAGTCCAGGAAGGATGCCAAAGTGGCTGAAGTGCTATGTGTGGCTCATGGATACTGTGCTACTGCCGGGTGCTAGAGGGAAATAAGCCATTACCTTGTCCGATCAGTCCATATAAGGTTGGTCTGAACACATGAACCTGCAGTGAAAAAGCATTAAAAAACGCGAAAGGTTGGCCACGTGTGGGCGGGTCTTAGGAGTCAAGTGGATGAAGACAGTGTTTGCAGATGTGAAATTGTGGGTTTTGGGGAGATCCGAGCCTCTACCATTGGTGCTTCAGAGCATGATGAGTGGTATAACGTGTCAATTAATTACAAAGACGGGGAGGGCCTTTTTTACACCCTATTTACATACAAAGAACCTCCAAGTAGCTTTATACTCACAATACTTAAAAAGCCCGTTTTAACAAATTGCTCCCACAGAAGCGTTTTCCCTTTTCCCTTTCTGACATAAATCATCTCTAAGAAAAATATGATTTATCGATGCATTGAGATTTTATCCGGAGATGGAAATGACAAGAAAATGCATGCTTTTTGTTAAAATATTCTGGGATAATTTATGTAAACCTTTTGTGTCAATATTTTTGCCAAGGCTTAGTGACAAGAGGCTGTGTTGAAACTGAAGCAGGACTCTGTTTGATAAACAAGTATATAAGACAAAGGGTCGATCTGAATGTGACACTGATAAGGACCTCAAAACAAACAAAATCAGCACCATTATATAAATAACAATATTTTATTTTAACAATAATCTTTATATATATATATATGTTTTTTATATATATATATATATATCAAACAAAATAAAGTGTAGTAGCCCAGTATTGCTCAAAAGTGAAACTCTATTGCATTTTCCTTCCATAAATCTCTCCACTATCTGCTTGACAGCGCATCCCAATATTTGTTTTCTGCTTGTGTGGAGCCTCCTTTAAAGTGCTCAATCTTTCTTTCTTTCTTTTTTTTTTTTGTGAAATCCGAGTATCATTGTTGCTTACTTTATTTTCCTCCCCTTCAAGACTTTCCCTTTCGCTCTCCTCCCTGTGCCTCCCATCCAGTATGTGATGTGGGTGACAATGTTTCACGTTTTTTAGCAGGTCCTCTGCGCATCCTGGGTGGTCGGACCCGGGCAAACACAAATACAAACCGATTGCTAAGCTGCAGACAATGGAGGAAATGTAGACAAATGTCCGGCTCCTGTTGGAAGCTTTTGTCCGGCCGCAGTTTTTGCATTTATTTCGGGGGCGAAATAATAGATGATTGACGCCCCGTGCACAATGCGTTCTAACTGTTTGGAATAAATCTGAGGTTGTTCCTAGTTGTCATGGCATTCAACTGCTTTCAATGGACTATCTCTTCATTCAATTCCAGGATCCTTCCACAATATTAAGGAAAGTCCTTCATATCAACACACACATCGCCTGCACACACGGACACACACACACACACACACACACTTCTGTCTCTTTTTCCAAAGCATTGTGGGTTCTTCTTTTTTTCCTTTCAGGTAGTTCAACAGATTGTTGAAGAAAATGTTTGTTAAACTCGGGTGGGGGTAGCCATGAATTACTATATTTATGATATATTATTATTATTTGTAATCATTATTATTATTGTTATGGTTAATATTATTGCTCAGCTCTGATTTAAACGAATAGTGTTAGAAGGCTGATTATTTTCTGTAAATGAATTACTTCCAAATCGAGCAACGTTTTTTTTTCCTGATTTTTTTTTTTTTTTAGTCCATATAGAAGTGTGCTTGGCATACAGGCCTGTGGTAAATATTTCACCAGTCTGGCAGAATTAATCACAAGTCTCAATATCCCACAAAGGCTCCATTGAGCTGGACGGTCTTTATGGAGAAACTGGAGCTGCGCCTATAAGGGAGAGAGGGGTTACTGACCTGATCCACCAAGTAGGGCTGCACAGCTAAATCCGACATGCGAAGGGGACATGCAGCCCGCAGCAGACACCCAGAGAGCTTTACGCATCACGGAGGAATGGCCAAGGTGATAGTCTCCATGCGCAACCTCATCAAGAAACTCACCTGGCCCATGCAGAATATTATTTCTTTCCGATTTACTCAGTGCCTTAAAAGTGTGTGGAGCCAGATCAGGGTATGTCTGAGCACGCAGGGGTTATCACCCGTATCATTCTGCCTTTTTTGTCGCAGTGAGTGGCCCGACGACAAGGGGGAGGCAGTTGGTTTTTTGGAGACGGGGAGCGCACGGGGATGCTGGCTGTGGTCAGTTGCTGGGGATATATTTGATCAATTGAGCTGAGGGGGTTTGGAAAAGAAGAGGTAAACGTGCACCGGCTAAGTGGACGTACTCCACTTGGAGAGCCTATCGCTCAATGTTTACCTGTTTACTTTCACAGGTAGTTTAAACAGGCCGCGCGCCTTTTTCACACTGGCTGAAGCCAGTGCGCGCACTGTTTTGGCAAAAACGGGACAAGGATGGAACATTCTCACGTTGCATTAAATAATATCAGGATGCCAGATACTCCAACGATCTAATAACAGATATATCTAGAGTATATTTATAAAATGCAGAGCTCTAAAATATATTTATTTAGCTTATTTTATTGCTATTATTATTATTATTACTATTTTTCTGATCATTATATTATTCTAGTTTTTGCAACGATTTCTATTTTTGTCTTATAATCACCAAAGTTTGTCGATGTTCTTTTAGTAAATCTGAAGTAAAATAAAGCCTAAATAGGTTAAACTGCAGTCTAAAGTTCGAAATGGGCAAACGTTGCAGCTGTGATTATACACTATTGTTTCACTCTCCCCTCTAAGACTCTGTGTCTGCTGGGGGTGTGAAACCACACAGAAGATGCACTAAAGAAGGGCCTCTGAGCTGCAGATGCATCAGGATTTAGAGGACAATGAGGGGCGCAGAGCTGTTGCATCCTATCACCCGCTTATTTGAGTCCAGCTGACGTTAAATCTCCAGCTCTGACTCTGAACGTATAACGATATTTTTTTCCTCCGGTTTGTGAAATGGCATTTTCCGCCTGTCCAGCTGCACGGTGTATACGGTAACCTTTTTTTTTATGTGATCGCTGCAGCTGTAATTATGTTATCACCAGTTTCACCAGTGCTCCCATTTTAATATTAGCTATAAGCTGCGGAGCTGACTGGCTCATTACTGGAGCTGGTTACATTTTCTGATCCCAGCTATGCAATCAAACGTACAGCAGAATGGACTCGTTCAAAAACAATTAATTTTTCGGATGAATCCTTCCACTCCCCCCCCCCCCCCAAAAAAAACGGGCCCCGTCTGATTAATTATAATTCCCTCCTAAAAATGCATGCCCACGATTGTTCCCAAATAAGTAAAGAAAGAGTTTTTTATATTCTTGATTAAATAAATCTTTCGATTGAATGCACAAATAAGAATGCCGCAGGAGAATCCATAATAATGTTGATCATTGCCTCCCTTTAATCGCTGAATTTCAGCGTGTTGGGATGCCTGAGGCAGGGAGTTAGTCTTTGATAAAGGTAACCCCGCCCGCCTCAGGGTGGCCGTGATAAATGTACAGAGTGACAAGACTGATTTCCTCCCACTATGATTAAAAGCCAATATATTATATGCAGGTAAAGCAGGGTCCGGCTTATTTATGGAGGCTAAGCTTTGGCCTGAGGACACTTGGCTGGAGGGAAGATATTTTTTTTTCTTTTTCAGGAATCCAACCGCCTTTCCCCCACAGGGCAAAAAAATGGCCTTTATTCGTCTCTTTTACTCTAATGATTAAACATGTCACGGGGAGATTATAGCATCTCGCCCGTGCCCCGAGGAGATGCCTTCATTTGTTAAACCACCAGTTTATTTGAAACGGAGAATTTCACGCCAGGCTTTACCATTCACCTTAATCTTTTTTCTGTTGTGTAAAACGAATCGCTAAACAGAAGTTTATTATTTTTAATCACTTCCTATTCTAGCACAGATAGCGACAGGGGCATGGGACAAATGGCTTTGTGCAGCCAAATCAAAAGAGACAGCTATTATTTATAAGCATGACTAACGATATTAATGCCCAGCACATCATTAAACAAACGAATACATTAATAAATTAAAAGTCCCGTCCAGGAGATTTGGATCAGGTCATTTGGAAATGGCACAAGTACAGACAACTTGTCCTCCTTGGAAGACAGCGTGGGTGTGGGAGCAGTCCTACCGTCAACAGCTGTTGACATCTGTAGGGCTCTGGCGGTCTCTACCGGCAAAATAAAGCAACAACAGGGCGTGCTCCTTGGCTGCACCCAAGAAGTCAACTTTTAAAAGATGATATTGTTGCCCATAGACCGCAGAGAGAGAGCTGGTGTGATATAATAGTTATTAAACAGACCACGAGCTCTTCAGTTCTGTTCCATTACAGCTTCTATTCGTAATAATTAAACATCTTTGTGTATGTGTCTGGTGTGACTTTAAATTTAGAAAACTGATGGAAACTGTTTTAATATTTTTTTTGTTCTAACAATTTGAATGATTTAGCTCCTTTTTGGAAGGTTTGACACGCATTCAACAGATTTCTATTATCTCAGAAAAATGGGCACACGCTCGTTTTGAGAATGGAAGGCAGGCCCCCAGATGATCCAAACGGTGCCAGCACAGCAAAGTCAACTCAGCTGAATATACGATGGTCCCCGGGTTCTTAAACCACAAAGCAGCACGGGCCTTTTCCCATTCTTTTTTTTTCGAATGCAGACTTAAAAAGCAGTCAAGTTTGGAGCATTCTGTCAAGGACT